CTGAGCAGAGAGATCCTTTTGGGAATAAGGAGAACACAAAATATTTTGTGATATTTCAGATCACTGAGGTTTTCCAGTGCTGAGCAGATAAATACTTTTGGAAATAAGGAGAATACAAAATTTTTTGTGACATTTCAGATCACTGAGGTTTTCCAGTGCTGAACAGAGAGATCCTTTGGAAAATAAGGAGAACACAAGATATTTTGTGATATTTCAGATCACTGAGGTTTTCCAGGACTGAGCAGAGAAATCCTTCGGAAATAAGGAAAATACAAAGTATTTTGTGATATTTCAGATCACTGAGGTTTTCCAGTGCTGAACAGAGAGATCCTTTGGAAAATAAGGAGAATACAAAATATTTTGTGATATTTCAGATCACTGAGGTTTTCCAGAGCTGAGCAGAGAAATTCTCTGGAAACAAAGGCTGCCAAGTTGCTGTTTTTGGTGCAGACACAGCTTCTCCCCCCTCAGCACTGGCCTCAGAGCCAGGGTGAGTTTGCTGTCACACAGGAGCCTCCAGCCCACTATTTTTAGTGCTTAATGGCAAAGCTGATGGTGCCATTAATCCACTTGGGTGTACGAAATTCCATTTCCACCTCAAATTGCACCTCAGTGCAAATGGTAGCTTGTCCTGCTGTCACATACGTTCAGAAATTCATGATGCAACACATTTAGTGGCTTCCTATCCCAGCATATTACCTGTGCAACTTGGTAATATGAGCAAATCCCCAGCTATTTATTCACTTTAAACTGCTGCACTGGACCCTGTCCTTGTAAATCTGTCACCTGCAGGTTAAATTTGAGAAGTGTTGCCTCTTGGTATTGAATTGTGGGTGCAAGGCAGTAATTCTGTGAGCTCACAATGAAACTGGGAGAGATTTGTGACTTTTTAAAGCTAACAAACCTGCAACAGAAGCCCCAAACAATATAAGTGACATTGCACTTGATTCCAAAGAATTTCTGCAAAAAAACACGAGGTGGGAAGGGTTTAGACATCAGCAAGTGCTTTTAAAAAATCAAACTAAGAAAATTGCACAGACGCCCCAAACATTAATGATTCCGAAGTGTTTCTGCAAAAATATGAGGTGGGAAGGGTTTAGACATCAGCAAGTGCTTTTAAGAAATCAAACTCAGAAAATTGCACTACAGGAATACACAAGGAATGAAGTGCAAGGGAAATCTACCTTATGCTTGCCTGCTCATATTGATAAATGAAAAATCTCCTCAGTCCTGCCGAGGTTTGAATGGGAACAATCCCAGTTCAGACCAGTCCTAGTGGCCACCCAAAGGTGCACGGAGGGTGTCGGAGCACCAAAACCCTGCCACGGAGCAGGCAGGAAGGTTTTCGGGATGGATTTTAGGTTTTCCAGAGGGATTTTGGGGCAGAGCCAGGCTGCTGGGGCTCTGCAGAGGGCGCCAGACGGTTTGGGATGCTCGGGATGCCGCTCCAGGTGCTCCGGCTGTCACTCACCCAGGTGCTCGCTCTCAATGGCCAATGCTCCGCTCGCACGCTGCAGGAGGAGTTGGTTTTTCCTTCTTGCATGTATAAATCCCTTGGTTCTCGGCTCCTTTCTTGCCACGGAAATAGCAACAGAGGCTGGGCTGAGCTGCAGCATGCTGGCTGCCCCGGCAGAAGGGGAAACTCTCTGCTTCTCATCACCAGGAGAGCTGAGCCCAGCAATGTCCTGCTGCCGATTCCTCCCTGCAGACACAGCTGTTTGCTGCCCACAGGCTTGGGAGATCACTTTCTTCTAAAGGAAAGAGCAGCCTGGCATAGAACTCACTGTAAATGCAGATTGTTTGATGTTTGCCCTTGTAAAAGTGACTGAAGTCCTGCTTGCTCGCACCCCACATGCACAGCAGCAGCTTGGAAGGACCTGCTTTCCATTTTGCATTTTTTTTTCTCTTTTTAACCTGTGCTGCCTCAGGTGCCCAGCCAGGGGTGAGCCCAGCTGCTGTGCTGGCCATGAACACCACACGCTCTGCATTCTCCTTGCAGCCCCTGCTGCTGAACGCCAGCGAGGACCTCAACGACTCCGTCCCCACCAACCGCAGCGGCGACGGGTTCTGCGAGCAGGTCTTCATCAAAGCCGAGGTCTTCCTGACTCTGGGCATCATCAGCCTGCTGGAGAACATCCTGGTCATCCTGGCAGTGCTGAAGAACGGCAACCTGCACTCCCCCATGTATTTCTTCCTCTGCAGCCTGGCCGTGGCAGATATGCTGGTGAGCATGTCCAACGCCCTGGAGACCGTGATGATCGCCATCCTCAGCAACGGCTACCTGATCATCGACGACCACTTCATCCAGCACATGGACAATGTCTTTGACTCCATGATTTGTATTTCTCTGGTAGCCTCCATTTGCAACCTCTTGGTCATAGCCATCGACAGGTACATCACTATTTTCTATGCCCTCCGTTACCACAGCATCATGACGGTGAAGAAAGCCCTGACCCTCATTGTGCTCATTTGGGTGGCGTGCATCATCTGTGGCATCATTTTCATTGCCTACTCGGAGAGCAAAACTGTCATTGTGTGTCTCATCACCATGTTCTTCACCATGCTGCTGCTGATGGCCTCGCTGTACGTGCACATGTTCCTGTTTGCCCGCCTGCACGTCAAGCGCATCGCGGCGCTGCCCGTCGAGGGCGTGCCCCCCCAGCGCACCTGCATGAAGGGCGCCGTCACCATCACCATCCTCCTGGGGGTCTTCATCGTCTGCTGGGCGCCCTTCTTCCTCCACCTCATCCTCATCATCTCCTGCCCCATGAACCCCTACTGCATCTGCTACACGGCGCACTTCAACACCTACCTGGTGCTGATCATGTGCAACTCCGTCATTGACCCGCTCATTTACGCCTTCAGGAGCCTGGAGATGAGGAAGACTTTCAAAGAAATCGTGTGTTGCTGCTATGGCATGAGTGTGGGACAGTGCATGCTGTAAAACACCTGCTTTTGGGTGGAAAAAACACGCCATAGGTGTATAAATATAAATATGTTTATGTAGATGTTGAGATGCAGAGCAGCTCACTTTAAACGCAGTGCCTGAAGGAAGGGTGCAGGAAAGATAAAAGCCTCCTACATGATGCCTTGTTTCCTACTTTTTAGAGTGAAAATCAGTTTCAACTGAATTATTTGAAGTTTTTTAAATGGTTATAATGGAAGCAAATCCAGAGTGGTTACAAAACACGTACTGGGAGAAAGGAATCCTGAAAGGGAATGCCACTTTCTGGAGACTGAGATAACATTTCCTCTAGCATTCGTTTGTGCCTGTTGCTTTATCTCAGTGCCACTGCCAACAAGTCAGTGTTTTCTAAAAGATTTCATTAGTAACCTCTGTGGAAAGCTATTTTTCCAAACACCAGCAGGTAACAGCATTGTTCTGCACCCACCTTTTAATGAAAGAATAGACTGATATTTTTGCTGATTGCCATAAAGCAGCCTGAGTACAGTTTTCAAAGGGTGAAAGCAAACACTTCTCTTGCTCTGAAATCAGTTACCACTACAGTGTCAGTGACAGCGTGGCTTCAACAGCTGCCTGATAGAATTGACTCATGTGAAGGCTTTTGCATTATTTATTGTGATATAAGAGTACTATACCCTTGAATTTCTGATTATTTTTGTAAAGCTGGAATGCCCTGATCAATGTAGTAATTGCTACGTTTGTAAAAACTCATAGAAGCCTCCTTTAGATAAGCCCTCACTAATGAGATCCACGGATCTGAACAGCAGAAAGAGGTAAAATGCAAAACACTTTGAATTGCAGCTTTGTGCAAAAGCTGCAGGGAGTCCTTAGAAATACCCACCTCTAAGTTCAGCAGCTGGAAGGAGTCAGATGTGTGTGGCAGAGAGGACTTTATTAATAGAGAAATAAATCTCCCGGGGCAGGACAATAATAAATGCCCTTCCTTCGGCTCCAGGCTGCCCTCAGGGGCTGGGGGCTGCTGCCCTGGGCACAGGAGAGCACCAGGGCTGTGTGCCACCCTCTGCAGCCCCTGGGTGTCAGTGCCATGCACAGCAAGCTCCTGCAGCCACCCCAGTTCGGTGTTTGCCTCTGCTTTCTGCAGGACAAACCCACAAACCCTGCAGTGCCTTCAGCCAGCTCACTGTCCCCGAGCAGGGGCTGCTGCAGACACGGCACGGGCAGTGACACCACCCTGGGGACAGGCTGAGAGCACCCTGAGCCATCCCAAAGGCTGCTTGGCACCTTGCTGGTACCTCGCTTTCAGCAGGGGGGGATCCCCAAACCCTCAGAGCTGTCTGATCTTTCAAACATCTCAAAGATCTCATTTGACTTAAAACTCTCTGGTTTATTCCTTCTTGGTTTTGGTGGAGTTGCTGGGTTGATATTTTTTTTTTCCCTCTGGGACTCCTCTCTGCCAGGTGAGAATCAATTGATGCACCCAGAGCTTCCCCAAGCTCCTGTGTCCCCATTTCTGCCCCACTCTGGTGCTGCTGTTTCAGGGGCTCCAGAGCCAGCCCTGCTGCCTGTGGGGACTCACATTTCCCACCCTGCACCTCCTGGCCTGTGTTTGATCCTCAGCATCCCACAGGAACAGCCCCATTTCCCGCTCTTATGGGCTGGATGATCCTCCTGGGGCCAAGAACCTGTTCTCATATCCCAGCATATTACCTGTGCAACTTGGTGAGCAAATCCCCAGCTACTTATTCACCTAAAACTACTGCACTGGAGCACTCTGTGCTCCAGACACAGTCTGTCCCACCACAAACCAACCTCATGTTCCCTACTTCTCCTTTCCTCTGATCACACCCAAAATTCCTTAACTGAGTTCTCACTTCCTCTCATAATCACATCCTCCAGACTTCCGCCTTTCCAGCACTCCCTCTGTTCCAGCACTTACCCAATCCTGCAACCCTTCGTTTTAGAAAGGTCAAATTAAAATAATAATAAAAAAAAGCAAAACCTCAAATTAAAATAATAAGAAAAGCAAAACCTCACTGTGGAGCAGAGCAGGCACAAATGGAAATTCTCCCTGTTTCAAGAAGACACCAAAGACAATGCCACTGACTGGCAAAGCCAAAAGCTTTCAGCTTTATGTGTGTGTGTCCCCAAGCACAGCTCAGCTGTGTCCTGCTGGCCCAGCCTGTCCCACCTTGCAGCAGCTGGGGTGGCACAAGGAGGTGAAATCAGCACAGGGAACCACAAAACTTCTGTGGTGTGCACAGACTGTGCCTGCCTGTTGTAAAAAATCTCTGCTTCTCCTCAGTGCTCTGTATCCCTACACTCTGGAGCATGGTTTGCCACGATGTTCTGCCTCAGGTTATTGTGTATTTAGCTCTTGTTGCACCTGATGTCCTCCTCATTTCTCTGATGTCCTTCTTTTTTCTGTTTTAAAAGCAATTTTAGCAGGACTGATTCAGTGCTTTGCCTCTAAGCAAAACCTACTCTGCTGAATAAAATCTGGAGAGATCACTGGGAATCATGTTTGCTTCTGTCAGAGCACCACACACAGCAAACCAGTCTGGGGGCTCAGAAAGCTGAGAACAGAGTCTAACACTGGGGAAAAGCCTCTTAATCCAGAGAATCATGGAATGGGTTGGGCTGGAAGGGACCTTGGCCAGCCAGTGCCACCCCTGCCATGGCAGGGACACCTCTCACTGCCCCAGGCTGCTCCTGGCATGGAAATCTTCACAAAAATGAGGGAAAAAGCCAAATTTTCAGTGCAGTAAGAGAATGCATAAACCCTCCAAAGATCCCGGACCCCTTGTGGCACCAGGTTACCCAGGAGAGGGGTGGGTTTGTTCAGCACACCCTCAGCTCTGAGCCCTGCTCTGGAGTTCTGTGGGGCACTGATGGACCCAGGGCTGCAGGGTCACAGCAAGGCTGGCCCTGGTGGCAGGGGAAACAGGGAAGGACCATGGGGCTGAACCCCAAAACAACAGCGAGAGAGGGAATGCTCACAGCTACAGAGCCGGGGGGAGGGAAGGGAAAAGGGGAAAGGGGAAAGGGGAAAGGGGAAAGGGGAAAGGGAAAAGGGAAATTGAAGGGGAAAGAAAGGGAAATGAAAGGGAGAAGGGAAAGGGAAGGGGAAAGGGAAAGGGAAAGGGAAAGGGAAAGGGAAAGGGAAAGGGAAAGGGAAAGGGAAA